ATGTGTGTGTGCATGTTTTTATCTGCGGTTATATAATTATTTTTTTGTATTCTTACACTAGTTCTAATTTTGCATGTATTTACTATCTACAGAAAGCGAGGGCGGAGGGAAGGAACTGCCAACGCGAACGCACAGAGACCAAAGGACTAGGGAGCGCCTGGCCCTCGCTCGCCCCCCACACAGGACCACTCCCAGGTCGGTACTCCAAAGGGAAATGTTGATACCGTTAGCTTACCTATTTAAGGACAATCGGACCACTTTGCAAGCAAGCCCCCCCCCCCCCACACACACACGCAGATGCACGAGCACGCACGCACGCATGCACACGCATGTGCGCGCACACACACACACACACACTCACACACACACTCACACACACACACACACACACACACACACACACACACACACACACACACACACACACACACACACATACACATACAAAAGCCACTTCCTCGATCAGTATGACTCATATTCAAATATTTACAATTCATGTCTCCGAACATTACTACACCGTCTTCAGGTAGCGAAGTTGTACGTGCTTGCGCTGCGCGTGCAACTTCTTTTCATTAAAGATGCCTCCGTTTGCACGTTGCAAGTGATGGACTAAATCTGCAATCTCGGGATTGGCGGCTTCCTGTAGCTTCCGGACAGGAAAGGCAGGGAATGAGACGTTCGCAACATTCGTCTCGCGTGTGAGTGGCGACTTCTCCAAGCTCCCCGGTCCGTGCGGCATAGATGTTCGGGTTCATGCTGCAAGGTCACCGAGGCTTGACTCTGAGTTGTCTACGTTAGACTGTGAACCTTAGAGGATTTGTGACATAATATTGACTTGCTCCAACGACGTTAGTATAGCCCGTGTGACTCACTCTTAGGCTCTTAGTGACTTGTTGCCGTCTCACCCGATATTGCAGGGAAAATGTAGTTCCGGAAACACCAGCTACTTATTGTAATTAAGCTTTTTTTTTCAATTTTGTCTAGACGGCGTTGTCTATGCATTCCATCTCTCTCTCTCTCTCTCTCTCTCTCTCTCTCTCTCTCTCTCTCTCTCTCTCTCTCTCTCTCTCTCTCTCTCTCTCTCTCTCTCTCTCTCTCTCTCCCTCCCTCCCTCCTTTTCTCTCCCTTTCTCTCTTCCCTCCTTCCCTCCCCCACCTCCCTTTCTCTCTCTCTTTCTCCATTCCTCCCTCCTCCACCTCCCTTTACTCTCTCTCTTTCTCCATCCCTCCCTCCCTCCCTACTCCCTTTCTCTCTCTTCCTCCCTCAATACCTCCTTTCTCTCTCTCTTCCTTCCTTCCTCTCCCTCCCTTCCTTCCTTCCTTCCTTACTCTTCCTCTCTCCCTCTCTATCTCTCTCTCTTTCTCCCTCCACTCTCCTCCTCTGTCGTTTTCCTTATCTCTCTCCTTCCTTCTGCCCCATCCCCCCCCTTCTTCCCCCTTCTTCATTCCTGCTTTCCGTCGTCGCTCTACACGTTCTTCCGAACCGAGAGACGAATTCATCTGGGCTTCTCCGCCGCCCCCGCCTGCCTTCCACTTTCTCTTTTCTGTGGCGAGGCAGCGGGAGGCGGGATGTAGTTGATGACGTAGTGTTTTTGCTCGATGACTCACGCTTCGGGAGTGCAATTGGAGCACGAAAATTATTCTTATCTTCCTGTCTTATCGCATGTATTTTTGCGGCGTCGGAAGGGGAACGTGAAATAGTAATATGTGTTTGTCTTTATTTTTAGTTTTCCTACACTGATAACACTTGATGAATTACACCCGCATTCCTTTGTGATCTGTGTCACTACCTTCATATCTTATATTAAGTATGAAAACGACAAAGAACTAAAATACACTGCTTGTAGTGCTCGTGTGTGTACCATAGCAATAATTTCCCGTCAGGCGATGATGGCATGTTGTGATTGGCGTCACGCCGGAAATACCTGGCCGACCACTTGTGAGAACCTCTCTTGTGCGTTCTCCCCCCCCCCTCCCTTCCCTCTCCCGTGGGCCTACCAGGAGATGGTTTCAGCACTGCTCGCAAAGCTACATGGATGACGACTCCGTAGCCGCGAGAGACTGACGGACTGTAGCAGGGGAATACAAGGCCGCCGGGTAGGGAAGGTGATGGCGCAGGCTGCAATGAGAGGCGATTCCACGGGGAATTCAAGGCCACCGGATGGGCTTTGGGAGAGTCACTGGTGCGATTCTGAGGCGCGGGGCGGCTTCCGACATTGGGGATCAACACTCACATAGTTGAGGATATAATAGTCTGTTGGGGGCCTGCCTTGGATCTCGGGGTTGGCCACTGACTGGCAGAACCAGGGCGCAGGACGTCTTGCGGGCCCGATCTGAGTACCCGAACCGCGAGGCTACTGTTTGTCTCATATTCCCCACGAGTGACCCCCTCCCCTCTTTCCTTCTCGCTGCCAGGAGGAGGAGGAGGGGCAGAAGTGGGAAAGGGGAGGCTCGAGACAGGGAAAAAAGGAAAGGGATGATAGAATAAGAAATGTACGAAG